TTCGTCCTCTCTCACCCTTTTCATTCTTTCTCACCATCTCTTTACCCCTTTCGTCCTCTTTCACCCTCTCTCACCTCTTTCACTCTCGTACGTCCTTTCTCACCCTTTTTCGTTCTCTTTCACCCTCTTTCGCCTATCTCGTCTTCTCTTACCCTCATTCGTCCTCTCTCACCCTATCTCCAAAAAATCATAAAAATGAAAAGGTCAAGCCATGTTCAAAAGAAGGTCCTCAAAAATTTAAACCTAGTCTGTACAATGAAAAATAATTACTCGTAATTCCAGAGTTCCAATTTGTTAATATCGAATAATGTATTTGTTTCAAGTAATGGCAGTAGTAGAGTCAAATACATACCTACGTATATGCAGTTTTTCTGTTAATGTACTTGAACGAAAAAAATAATTAAATGATTTAAATATAGCACATTTTAAATCAAGAAACTTATATAATCGAACTCTGTTTAGGCAAAGGTAGAACATTTCATTTGCCTCTGCCTTTACAAGAAACATTGGATAAGGTATGTCCTCCGGAAGATCCTATAAATTTGAATCACGAGTTGCACATTCTCGTTCGAGGTATACCCAAGAAATCTAAAGTGGTTTGGGAAAATTTGGTAGATATTAATAAAATGTATAAGGCTTTACAATGGTTGAAAGAAAATAATCCTCATTACTCAAAAATTCGTCTTCCAGCGTCATCTGATGATCTATTAAAGGATAAGTTGCAGGAAACAGAATATAGGATTGTCGATAAGGAAAGCGACAATGACGAAATAAATGAGGTGGTTGAGGAATTACCAGCATTGAATTTGTACAATGTACAGCAAAACAAAAATAATAATGATCAAACCGTTTTAAAACGTACGGCTTTTCTCACACAAATCACTGAACATTCGGATATTAACGATCAGTATACAATATACCCAATACACGCGAAAAGAATCGATAACGAATCTGCATTGAAGCTTTATCAAATGGTAAAAATTGAAGATTTTCCAATGGATAATCGTTATAAATATCTGGATGTCATGTGTTTCCCTGATTTATATCCTGATGGTGTCAATGGACAACGAGAAGATAGAAACTTTGCATTGCCGGAATATTTATTTATTAGAACACGATTGATGTCGAAACATAGTAGATTCAGGTTGAATCTGCAGTATCTGTTCTTCCTTCTCAATGATGCTAACTACCGACAGTTGAAAAGTGGTATCTATTATACGATGATGGTTACTAACCCACGAGAGAGATACACTGCTGGTAGATACTTGAACGAATTGAAAGGTTACCAATTAGAATCGAATTTAATGAGTATTTTCGCAAAATTGAGAAATACGGATCAATTTTGGCGACAACCGTCCAATAATGTAAAATGCATGACTTTGCATTACGGTCCAGCGACGTGGTTTTTGACTTTGAGTCCTAGTGAATGGAAATGGTCCGATTTGGGTGAATATTTACGAGATATGAATCCCGATAAAGAGAAGTTAAGCGAACTAATCGCATACGATCTTGTAAGTACTTCTAGATTCATGTGTATAAAATTCAAAGCCATGATTGATTTTATTTGTTCGTCCGATAATCCAATAGGAAAGGTTATTCATTACTTCTGGCGACTGGAATATCAACGTAGAAGTATCCAGCACATGCATTGTATGATTTGGATAAAAGATGCTCCAGTATTAGGAAAATCGCCGGATGAAGAAGTTGCTACGTTTATTCAAAAATACGTAACGTGTGAAATTCCAGATGAAAATGTTTCGCCAACGTTGTACGATACGGTAATAAGTGATCAGAATCATAAACATAACTCGTATTGCATGCGTACGAAAAAAACGGAAACTAATATATACAGAAAGTGTCGGTTCGATTTTCCTCGGCCAGTTACTGAGAATTTCGTTTTAAGAGACGTTATCACTTCGATAGTCGGTAGAAAAAATTTACGCAATAAGAGCAGATTGTACGATCTTCCTCGCAAGGAGTCGGAAAGGTTTATAAATGATTATAATCCGTCTATCAAATTAGCCTGGGAGGGAAATATGGACATACAATTTATTAGAGAAAAATCAGAGTTTTTAAACTCATATTTAACAAAATACACGACAAAGTCGGAAAAATGCAATACAGACTTTGAAGTGATAGATTCGAATAAGTCCTTGGCATCGAAACTGTGGAATTTTGCAATGCGTTCATTAAATAACAGAGAATGCGGTGCTTTAGAAGCTGCGGATACACTATTAGGGAATCCCTTGTACGGTACGGATAATGATACCATGGTCAAATGGATCGATGTTAATGAGGTGAGAAATAGAAAAGTTAAAACATTTAATGAAATTAAGCTCTCGATGAAAATTCTACGAATATTTACTGTTCGTCACTCATCGATGATTACTATCCAAATAGACCTCAGGAATTAGAATCATTGAATTTGTACGATTTTGCCAGATTCTGGGAAATTACGAAACAGATGTCAAATAATGACGAAGTCAAGTGTTACAAACTGGCATCGGGTTTATTTTTAAAAAAACGAAAAAAGGGTTATTTAATTAACCATTATCGATTTAATATAAAAACTGAGCCCGAAAAATACTTTTACTCGCTGCTTCTTCTGTTCAAACCATGGAGAGATTTGAGTGAACTCAAAGGTACATTCGAGACTTACACGGATGCCTTTAAGAATTCAGAGTCTGTTTTAACGAAGGCAATGAAATATCACGAAAGGCTCGAAGAAATACAGAAAGCTTTTGAGAACGTTGCTGAATTAATCGAGAAGCGCGAAAATGATCTGAAAACAGCAGACAGAGACAAATCCGATGACGATGAACTGGATTGTAATCCGATAGAAGCTGACGACGCGATGAAAGATCTGGAAGATTTTGGTAAGATTGACGACCCGATTGATTTATCGCAAATGATGTCGCAATTGAACGAAGACCAGAAAAGAGTCTTTGATGGAGTATGCCAAGTTTTACAAGATAAGAATCAGATTCTGCGACTGTACGTAAGTGGCGAGGGTGGTACAGGGAAAAGTTTTCTAATTGAAACGATTAAACATTGGATCAGAATAAATTTGGAAAAAACGACTGCCATATCTGCTCCCACGGGTATCGCAGCATTCAATATCGATGGCTTGACAATCCATAGAATGTTTCAACTACCCGTTAGTCATGAATCTACACCAAAATATACGCAATTGTCAGACATGGTCTTGAAAACTTTGAGAGACAAGTTAAAGAATGTCGAATTATTTATAATCGATGAAGTATCCATGATTTCAAATGTGACACTTATGTTTATCAATCTACGATTATGTGAAATCTTTGATACGACAGATACAGATGATGGTTTCTTTGGCAGAAAACACATTCTCCTGTTTGGGGACTTGTTGCAGCTTCCTCCTGTAAAAGGACAATTTTCGTTTGTTAAAATGTCTCGATCAGAGATTCAGAAGTATTTAGGTACCATGGGTGGATGTGATTTGTGGAGATTGTTCGAGTACGACGAACTTTTGATTAATATGCGACAAAGATGCGATAATACATATCGTGATATACTTTCTAGAATACGAATAGGTTTAGTAACGGATTCTGACATCAATGTTCTTCAGTCTAGAAGAATCAATTTTAAAGAAAGTAGTTGCGACGAAAGATTGAATGAACTTTGCACTTATATGAATCAATTACCGATTGATACAATTTGTTTATTGCCCACGTGTTATTTGTGCAAGGTTTTGAACACAGCAATGCTCGATAAAATCGA